CATTATGAGAACAGTATTTCAAGGTGACCCATTTATGCAGAAATTTTTAGAAGAAAAAAAATCTCCAGTATAATTTTCTTCACTTTTAAGCCCAGTGATATTTTCAGAAATTCAAGACATACCATAGCATAGGAAAAGGGTGTGTTGAGAGAGTCTCTGGCTTCCATGTCTGATCTCATTCTCACTGTCAGTGTCATATCTTCATTGTACTGGATTTTAACTGAAACTGGAAGATGTCCTCTGATTTTCTCTCCATTTCTGTAAAATTGCCTTAGTTCATGATGTGGTTGCATTGCCTGAGATAATGTACAAAAAAATCCCATTGGCTGGGCATGGTGGCTCAAGCCTGTAATCTCAGCGGTTCGGGAGGCTGAGGTGGGTGGATCGCCTGAGGTCAGGAATTGAGACCAGCCTAGGCAACATGGTGAAACTCCGTCTCTACTAAAAATACAAAAATTAGCCAGGCGTGGTGGTGGGTGCCTGTAATCCCAGCTACTCGGAGGCTGAGGCATGAGAATGGCTTGAATCCGGGAGTCGGAGATTGCAGTGAGCCGAAATTGTGCCACTGCATTCCAGCCTGGGTGGCAGAGCAAGACTGTCACAAACAAACAAACAACAACAACAACAACAACAACAAAAACACAATTCCCACCAAATGTGTGTCCTGCATGGTGGTTCATGCCTATAATCCCAGCGCTTTGGGTCAAGGTGGGAGGATTGCTTGAGCCCGGGAGTTCATGACAAGCCTGCGGAACACAGCAACTCACCTAAGGTTTCAGGTGACTGAAAAACAGCAGTTTCCTCGCCATCACTCGTGGCACCGAATTCAAAGTCAGGAAATCCTGATTCTAGACCATGTCAGGTACCATCCTATGCCTTACAGTTTATTTTCCATCTCGGAGGAAAAAAGGCCTTGTCATGCTTGCCTCATGACAGATGTGGGAAAATGATGTATGCGTATGCAACGTTCTTGGCTGTCTAGGCACGGTGGCTCACACCTATAATCCGAGCATTTGGGAGGCCAATGCAGGAGGATTGCTTGAGCCCAGGAGTTCAAGACCAGCCTAGGCAACATAGCAAGACTTCGTCTCTTAAAAAGAAATTAGCTGAGTCTGTTGGCGTGCACCTGTAGTCCTAGCTACTCGAGAGGCTGAGGCAGGAGGATCACTTGAGCCCAGGAGGTCAAGGTGGCGGTGAGCTATGATTGCACCACTGCACTCCAGCCTGGGTGATAGAACAAGATCCTGTCTCAAAAAAAAAAAAAAAAAAAAAAAAAGAAAAAAACAAAAAGAAACCCACTAGGTGTAAGGCAACATAAATTCAGGCTACCTTTATCATTGTCACTATTTTTATAAGAATTAGATTTTGTTACTCAAGATCTTGGGAAACAGACAAAAATAGAAATATATGAAGATATTCTGATTTCCCTCCTTTAGAGGAACCTTTTTTCTTGTTATGTTCTTCAGCCCAAAATCTACCATTTCTCTAAGGTCCACAATTTCCGAAAATCCTTTTGGAACTCGAATTGCCTGGCTACTCCACAAAGTTTGCATTTGAGCTTCCACCAAATGCGATCCCTACAGCGGCCGTCACCCCATGCTTCTGCTGAGCAGAATTCCGTTCGTGGGGAGTCCTTCGAAGCCTGCCCAAGGTGTCTCTGCCCTACCTTCTCTGAACTCTAGAGCAGCGATCCCCAACCTTTTTGACACCAGGGACCAGTTTTGTGGAAGATAATTTTTCCACAGACCAATGAGGAGGGATGGTTTCCATATAATGCAACCACATTACCTTTATTATGTACTTTGATTCTATTATTATTGCATTGTAATAGATAATGAAATCATTATATAACGCACCATCATGTAGAATGAGTGGAAGCCCTGAGCTTGTTTTCCTGCAGCTAGATGGTCTCATCTGGGGGTGATGAGAGACTGTGACAGATCATCAGGCATTAGATTCTCACAAGAAGTCCTCAACCTAGATCCCTCGCACGTGCAGTTTGCAATAGGGTTTGAGCACCTGTGAGAATCTAATGCTGCCGTGGATCTGACAGGAGGGAGAGTTCAGGCCGCAATGCTTGCTCACCTGCCACTCACCTCCTGCTGTGTCGCCTGGTTCCTGACAGGCCACAGACTGGTGCTGGTCCACGGCCCAGGGGCCGGGGAGCCCTGCTTCAGAGCACTGGCACTCTGCAATGCCCTGTTTCATTCTCATTAGGTTGTGCCTCGTGTTGGTGCTTAACTGTGTTATTTTGTATATCTTGTTAACTTAATGTCTTAGTCCATTTTGTGTTGCTATAAAGGAATATCCAAGACTGGGTAATTTTTAGAAAGAAAAGAGGTTTATTTGGCTCCTGGTTCTGCAGGCTGTGCAAGAAGCATGGAGCCCACATCTGATTGGCTTCTGGTGAGGCCTCAGGAAGCTTTTATTCATGGTGGAAGGGAAGGGGGAGCAGGTACGTGACAGGGTGAGAGAGAAAGCAAGAAAGAGATGCCATGCGCTTTTAAACAGCCAGCTCTCCTGTGAGCTAATAGAGGGAGAAGCTACTTATTACTATGGGGAGGGCCTCAAGACATTCGTAAGGGATCCGCCCCTATGTCCCATGCCCCTCCCACCAGACCCCACCTCCAGTCCTGGGGATCACATTTCAGTACAAGATTTGGAGGGGACAAACACCCAAACTATATCACTTAGCTAGATTTCAGTGTAGTCACCTCTAGGGAAAGATGCAAATGTGTTTTCCCCTCCCTCCTAACTCTTTTTCCAGGGTGCTGGGAGACTGATACTACATTGGTAGCCAATTTCTTCATGAGCACAAATGCAAAGATTAGAGAGAGGGTAGCAATTGTTTGTAAACATAACAGATTCTTGACTTGGGACTTATTAATTAACTCACTGATTTATAATTAGTAATTGACTCATTAAGCATTTTGATGGCAATTAGTTTTTTAAAGAACAGCTTAGACACAATAGGTAAATTATTACATAAATTCAATGAGAATTTTTTTTTTTTTTTTTTGAGATGGAGTTTCACTCTTGTTGCCCAGACTGGAGTGCAATGGTGGGATTTCAGCTCGCTGCAGCCTCTACCTCCCAGGTTCAAGCGATTCTCCTGCTTCAGCCTCCCAAGTAGCTGGGATTACAGGCATGTGCCACCATGCCCGGCTAATTTTACGTTTTTAGTAAAGACGGGGTTTCACTATGTTGGCCAGGTTGGTTTCAAATCCCTGACCTCAGGTGATCCACCTGCCTCGGCCTCCCAAAGTGCTGGGATTACAGGTGTAAGCCACTGTGCCCAGCCAATGTTTTCTTATTTTTTATTTTTTAAAATAGAGATGGGGTCCCACCATATTGCCCAGGTTGATCCTGAACTCCTGGACTCAAGTGATCCACCTGCCTTGGCCTCCCAAAGTGCTGGGATTACAGGCGTGAGCCACTGCACCCGGCTTAGCGGCACTGTTTAACACCACAAAAACATCATATAACCACTGAGCTCCTTCTCAGAAGGAAGATGGCGAAAGCTCACTGCTCAGCAGTGACTCGATTCATAACCCGGGGCTTTGGTCTGTTTGTTTTAGGCTTAATTCTTGCAGGTTTGGAGAATGTCAGGTTCTAAAACTTGAGTTCATTATTCCTGTCAATTCAGGGCACACCCTTACCATAAGCCCGTGGAAGACACCCTGTCGAGTTACTTTATTATTTTTTCTTTATCTCCATGCTCACTCCCCATTTTCATGCAGCCTATACATAGGTGTCTTTGAAAATAAATATTATTGCCAACCCCAATTTAATTTTCCAAGGTCCTGTTCCAAGCACTTTTATACGCATTGTCTTCTTTCATCCTCCCAACAGCACTATGAGAAACACTGCTTTGGCCTGGCATGGTGGCTCACTCCTGGAATCCCAACACTTCGGGAGGCCGAGGTGGGTGGATCACCTGAGTTCATGAGTTCGAGACCAGCCCGGCCAACATGGTGGGGCCCCATCTCTATTAAAAATTAAAAAATTAACTGGTGTGATGACGCACGCCTGTAGTCCCAGCTACTCAGGAGGCTGAGGCACAAGAATCGCCTGAACCCCAGAGGCAGAGGTTGCCGTGAGCTGATATCATGCCACTGTGCTCCAGCCTGGGTGACAGAGCGAGATCCTGTCTCAGAAAAAGAAAGAAAAATTCTTTTGTTGTTCCCATTTAACAGAAGAGGAAACAGAGGCATGGATACATGAAGTAATTTTTCCAAGATCACGCCTTAGCATATCGCAGCGTGAGGACTCACATCCAGGCACCCTATACGTAAAGCCTGAGCTCTATCGCTCTGCAGTACTCTATCTACTCTGCATTTTAAAATATAGTGTGTGGTTTTGTGTGTGTGTTTTAAAATGTATTTGAATGTTATTGTGCAACTACTGTGAAACCAGAACGTGTGAGACAGGTCTCAGTAAATTTAGAAAGCTTATTTTGCCAAGGTTGAAGACTCGCCCATGACACAGCCTCAGGAGGTCCTGACGACCTGTGCCCGAGGTGGGTGAGGCATAGCTTGCTTTTATCCATTTAGGGAGATAGGAGACATCAATCAATATATGTAAGGAGTACATTGGTTCGGTCTGGAAAGGTAGGACAACTTGAATCAAAGGCGGAAGATTGGAATGGGGGAAGGGACTTCCAGGTCACAGACAGGTGATACACAAATGGTTACATTCTTTTGAGTTTCTGATTAGCCCTTCCAAAGGAAGCAAATCAGATATGTGTCTATCTTCAGTGGGCAGAGGGGTGACTTTGAATAGAATGGGAGGCAGGTTTGCCTTAAGCAGTTCCCATCTTTAGTTTTCCTTACTGATATTGGGGGCCCAAGGTATTTCCCTTTCATACTACAGGTATCCTTCTATATCTTACTTTCTTTATTCTACATTATGCTTTTAAGATTTAATCACCTGCTAAAGATATCACTAGTTGATTGATGGCCACAGCGCATTCCACCGCATCCATCCATCTCAGCTCACTCTTTTTTTTTTTTTTTTTAACTTGAAGCACAAATGCTTTATTTAAAGGCACATCTCAGTTCCTGTGTGACGGGCAAAAAATAAAATAAAGGAGCAGATCGTGGCACACCATTCCCACGAGTCAAATGGTCAAACCCCACATCCAAGACCCAGTGAGCAGCCAAGCTCAGCGCAGCTTCCAGGCCTCTCGCTCTGACTCCAACAGGGTGAGCGCGTCCCCCTCGCACACGGGGCCTTTTACGTTGCGGATGCTGGAGCGGCTCATGTTGTCCATAAATTCCACGTGCACCTGTGTGCACTGTCCCTGAGAGCCGGTCCTGCGCAGGACCTTGATGACCCTGGCCAGCTTGATAGGCTGCGCATGGCTGGTGTCCATGACGGCAGCATGGCAGTCTGGCGGAGTCAGTTGACTGTTTTTGTTTTGTTTTGTTTTGTTGTTTGTTTGTTTGTTTGAGACAGAGACTTGCTCTGTCTCCCAGGCTAGAGTACAGTGATGCGATCTGGGCTCACTGCAATCTTGGCCTCCTGGGTTCAAGCAATTCTCCTGCCTCAGCCTCCCGAGTAGCTGAGACTACAGGTGTGCACCACCACGCCCGGCTACTTTTTGTATTTTTAGTAGGGACAGGGTTTCACCATGTTGGCCAGGCTGGTCTGGAACTCCTGACCTCAAATGATCTGCCTACCTCAGCCTCCCGAAGTGCTGGGATTACAGGCGTGAGCCACCGTGCCCGGCCCAGTTGACTCTGTTATGTCCCTAACGAGGGGCAGACAGAATGTCTCCCAATCCCTAATCCCCAAACATTCTAATAAACATTCTCACTCATGGCCCCTTACATACCTGTGTGAATTTCTCTAGAATGTATCATTTGGAATGAGACTGCTGGCATACAAAGCACACACTGCCCTTTAGACTGATTTCTGACATGGTGTTGCTAACCCTCTTCCCAGCAGCACAGAAGATTCTTTCTTCTCTAATTTCTCATGAACATTCATCTGACTTTATAGTTTTTACCAATTTGATGGCTGTCGAGTGGTATACCATTGTTGTTTTTCATTTGCATTTCTCTAATCACAAATGAAATTGAACCTCTGTTCATAAACGTGGAGGCTTTGGGTTTACTTTTCTGTGAATTTCTTATTCATCTCTTTTGTTCCTTTTTTTTTTTTTTTTTACTGGGTCTGCTGTCTTGTTATCTAGGTCCTATCAGTTTTAGAGGTTTCAAATATTGCCTCTCAGTCTTCCCTCCCATCAGTTATCTTCATTTATGGTGTCCTTGTTGAACAGAAATTCATAATTTTTCTTTTCTTTTTTTTTTTTTCTTGAGACAGAGCCTCTGTCACACAGGCTGGAGTGCAGTGATGTGATCTTGGCTCACTGCAACCTCTGCCTCTGGGGTTCAAGCAATTCCACTGCCTCAGCCTCCCAAGTAGCTGGGATTACGGGTGCCCACCACCACACCGGGCTAATTTTTGTACTTTGTAGGAGAGACAGGGTTTCACCATGTTGGCCAGGCCGGTTTTGAACTCTTGACCTCAGGTGATCCGCCCACCTTGGCCTCCCAAAGTGCTGGGATTACAGTCGTGAGCCCCCATGCCTGGCCAGAAATTCATAATATTGATATAATTATATCCAGTGATTTTGGGGGGCTTTTATTAAACCTTGGAGTCTTGTTTGGAAAATAATTTCCTTAGACATCAACTGGATTTAGTGGAGTAATTTGTATACAACTAAACTTCTATAAAGAAGAACTATAGGCTGGGTGTGGTGGCTCATGCCTGTAATCCCAGCACTTTGGGAGGCCGAGGCAGGTGGATTGCCTGGCTCAGGGGTTTGAGACTAGCCTGTGCACCATGGCAAATCCTGTCTCTACCAAAATTACAAAACATTAGCGAGGCTTGGTGGTCCGTGTCTGTGGTTTCAGCTACTCGGGAGGCTGAGGTGGGAAGATCGCTTGAGCCCTGGAGGTGGAGGTTGCAGTGAGCTGAGATCATGTCACTACACCACCCTGGCCTGGGTGACAGATTGAGGCCCCGTATAAAAAAAAAAAAGAAAAAAAAAAAAAAAAAAAAAAAAAACAGAAGAAGAACTATAAAAACTGAATAGCTAACAACAGAACAGCTGTTTCATGGTGTTGGAAAGTAAAGAAGACAACTAAGACTTGAGGGTCCAAAAAGTCAGAGAAAAGTGCATGGATGCAAGCCTGATGTTTTCCACAGCATTTTACTCTCAGGAAATTTGCTATGACGAGCATAACGGTGGAAGAGAAAGCAATGGCATTGAGACCGTGGTACTCGCTGGGATGAGTCTACAGAATTGGAGTTAATGGCTACTAAGTCAGCCTGAATGGGAAGGGCTCCATCCCAGAAGAACAGATTGCATGAAATTTCACCTCAAGGCATTCACCAACTCATAAACTATAAAATACAAGTTCAATACATCTTTGTTTCCAGGTGCTCAAAGGATAAAAAATTAATCAGAGATTTTTGTCAGTTTCACAGTGCTGAGGAGGAAAAAAGTGGAGATCAGAGCCTGGAAAAAAGGAGGAACTCTGGTGAACATCCAGGTTTCCAGTAGAGACCCTCGAAGGGATATACCCTTGAAGAGAGGAAAAACTGCAGAACTACAGCGAAAACAACAAAGGTTTAGGAGGACACAAAGTGTTTGCGCAGCCTCTATAAGCTGGCTGAAACTGGCTCAAGGCCCGCAGTTGCCTACGTTGTTTGTAAGGCGTATCCTCTGTCCATTGGAGTTGAAGTGGTTTGGGCTGTAAATCAGCTGGTAGCTGCCATTGTTAGGGAGTTTGGCAAGAATATGGATTTCCTAGTGGCCTGAGGAATTTAGAAATGTGCCGTGCCAGCCAGGCCCTGGCTTCTATCCCTAGGTATCTTTTGCGTCCTTAATGTTAGGGTCTGTCTTAGTTGATATAAGGGGGTGTCTCAGATCACAGTGTGAATCCCAGTCTCAGCTCCAACACTTCGGAGCAGTGTATTTAGGCAAATTACCTCCTTTTCTTGCCTAATTTTCTTGTCTAGGAAATGTGGGGTGGAGAGGATTATCATAACTACCATCCATAAACTTTTTTTTTTTTTTTGAGACAGCGTCTCGCTCTATTGCCCAGGCTGGAGGGCGATGACACGATCTCGGCTCGCTGCAACCTCTGCCTCCCAGGTTCAAGTCATTCTCCTGCCTCAGTCTCCCGAGTAGCTAGGATTACAGATGTCCACCACCATGCCTGGCTAATTTTTTTTTTTTTTTTTTTTTGTATTTTTAGTAGAGATGGGGTTTCACCATGTTGCCCAGGCTGGTCTGGAACTCCTAGTATCGAGTGATCCATCCACCATGGCCTCCCAAAGTACTGGGATTACAGGCATGAGCCACCACGCCCGGCCACATCCATAAACGTTAAGTGTATTGAGGCTGTGGTCACTGCTGTATCCCTGACACCTAGCATCACCTTTGGCACATGTTAAACATGGACTAAGTAGTATCCAGTATCACAAAAGATATGACCTAATATTCCTAATTCCTGACCTGATTTTCCCTTGCCTATCATTAGTGTTGCAAGAAGCTTCAAATGCATGCTGTCACTAGTCTGCCCTCTTATTCTTTTATTAGAACATTGCTGAAAAGCTTTGGTTTCCTTGCGTCTTGTTTTCTTCCAGCATTCCATTTTAGATTCATTCATTCATTCATTCACTCAATCATCCTGATGACTGAATGCATTGAGTTGACAATGAAAGCATTGACAAGCATTGGTTTAGTGCGGATGTTTGTCCATCTCCTGCTCTTGCAAGTCTCATGGTCCCCTACTGCTATCCCACCATGGCTCTCTCTGTTCTCAGTGGGTCTTTGGGGTCTGTGTATGGTATTTTTGTTCGTTTGTTTGTTTGTTTTTTGAGACAGAGTTTCATTCTATCACCCAGGCTGGAGTGGTGCGATCTCGGCTCACTGCAACCTCTGCCTTCTGGTTTCAAGTGATTCTCCTGCCTCAGGCTCCCGAGTAGCTGGGATTACAGGTGTCCGCCACCACGCCTGGCTAATTTTTGTATTTTTAGTAGAGACGGGGTTTCACCGTGTTGGCCAGGCTTGTCTCAAACTCCTGACCTCATGATCCACCTGCCCCAGAGCGCTGGGATTGCAGGCGTGAGCCACCGCACCTGGCCTTAGGTACTTTAATATAATGCTCCTCTCAGTTCTTCTTTCCCCACCTCTCTCAGATACACATTATGGCTGTAATTATGGGAATCTCTTGGAAGCCCCAATAATGGACCCTTCCCTGATTTTCTTACTGACTTCACTTTATTCATTTGTTTAGTTATTTGCCCAGTGTTTTCCAGGTATGATTTCAGTCACTGGGGATAGAGCACCAAATAAGCAAAACATGTTCCTGTCGTCATTGTATCACAGCTTTCTCACTCTCTTTCAGGGCAGGGTAGGCCTAGCTATGTATCCCTATCTGGAAATGATGGCTATGGAATGAAGGTTCCAACCCAGGGAAGAAGGCAGCCCCCATCTCTATGATATTTCCTGATTATCTCTGTGCAAATCTCTGTGATACTCGTGGGAACACTACCCATTCTTTGTCTGGTAAACTCTTTCTCTTTCTACAAGCCCCAACCCAGATGTTGCCTAAAACCTCAATCGTTCCCTAACTCTCCCAAGGGACCTCCGTGAGTGCTGCATAAATCTGTGTTGAATAAATAGAGACAGAGATAAAAATGATGTGGTTCTGAAAAAGGGCAGTCAGATTGGTGAAAGCACAGGCTGCATTTCACTTGGGTGCTGGGTGATGGAACCTAGTTTTTTCTTTTTTTTCCTTAAAATTAGACCAGGTAGGAAGAAGGTATGGCTATAGCCTTCAAATATTTAAAGAGTTGGCAGGCTCCATGGCTCATGCCTGTAATCCCATCAGTTTGGGAGGCTGAGGTGGGAGGATTGCTTGAGCCCAGGAGTTTGCGATCAGTCTGGCAATGCAGCGAGACCCTGTCTCTACAAAAACATTTTAAAATTAGCTGGACGTTACGGTACACACTTGTAGGTCTAACAGCTTAAGAGGCTAAGGTGGGAGGATCCCTTGAGCCTAGGAATGTGAGGCTTCAGTGAGCTATGATTGCACCACTGGACTCCTGTCTGGTCCACAGGGAAAGTTTTATACATATATACCTGCATATCTACACTTGAAATTATACATCTATACATATTACATGCATATATATATAATACATACATATTTATATGCGTGTCTGTATATGTAAATACACATATACATATTTATATGTGTGTATATATGTGGATACATACACATATAAATATATATGGGATTTTTTTGTTGTTATTTTGTTTTGTTTTGTTTTGAGACGAAGTTTCATTCTTGTTGCCCAGGTTGGAGTGCAATGGTACAATCTCAGCTCACTGCAACCTCTGTTTCCCAGGTTCAAGCAATTCTCCTGTCTCAGCCTCCCAAGTAGCTGGGATTACAGGCAT